TCGTACTTGAGGACCCCATGCCAGGAATAAATTCGAGCACTCAGAATGATGTCGACACAGTGCGAACGAGGATCGCCTCCCAGGGCCCGACACTTGAAAACCCTCCAGTTCGGGCACCTTCCTGGTGCTCAAAATTCTTTCTGGTGGTCAAGGCTTAAGCACGTTGGAACAACATAAGCCAAGGGGAGCCCCCTCAGACGCGCATCCCATCCACGGGAGCAAGCGGGCGACTGCGGGTTGGTACCGCCGCACGCGGGGGCCACGATGCCAGCGTGGGAACAGGCACGGCGCAGCTCTCAGCACGCCCTCCTCAGACGTGGCTCGGCCCCGCAGCAATGCGGCCGGGCGGCGACGCTGCGCACCACTTAGCTGCGTGGCGGGTATAGTCTGCGCGGCAGCGCAGGTCGGCATAGCACGACTCGATCCTCGATCCTCGAGCCTCGAATCTCGATCCTCGATCCTCGATCTTCGACCCTCGATCGACGGGTCGGTCGGCGACGGCCAACCCGGCAGGCTGCCACGGCCTACCGCACCGCGCTCGAGGCGCTCCCAGCCTGGTCTGCGTGGCAGCGCAGATCAACATGGCACGCCCCCAAGACGAAGCGTGGACGAGGATAAATCCGGGAGAGGATGTAGTAGGAACTCGACCACAAGAAACCTTCCACAAAAAACCCGACCCTGAGACCCCAGGACGTCCGTTGATTTTTGGTGTGGGAACGTCACGCTTTCCATAGCAAAACCATCGAAACTCAAGGAACCCAGGACACCCTGGAAGCAAGCAGGGTGTTTCTTGGCACGGGCTTCCACTTGCAAACCGAGAATATCAGAGACCTGGCGGCTCTGGAGGATGCCTCGGCGCCGCGACCTTCCCAGACCGGTCTGGAACGCTCTGAGAGCGCTCCGGGAACAGATCGATCCTCTTCCTGACCCCGTTCGAGAATGGCATTGGAGGCCTGGAAGTGGACACCAACACCGACACAGGGGTTTGCCTCCACAAGGGGAAGATGGTGGTAATATTTCGGCCACTTGGAAGCCAGAATATTTCCACCATCGCCGAGATCGGGAGCTTCCTCCTTCGGTGGAGGCACACCGCCGATATTGGTGTTGGTGTCAACCTCTAGGCCTGCGATGGTACGCCTCCTCCTCCTCCCCGTGCAGCTTGGGAGGCTGTCGTCGCGCAGGCCTCTGCCTGGATCGCTCGGGTCTCCCAGCGTGCCACCCAGCGGCCCGGGCCTCCCGAGCGGAAAATTAGGCTTAGGTCGGGCATGTCCTCCTACAGGCGGATTTTGGCAGAGCAATGATTAATAGCCAAAAATAATAATAATACGAATAATACGAATTAGCAATTAATAAGCATAATATTACGACCATTACAAATCATACTACGAATATTACAAATATTAAATTATTATTATTACTATTATTATTAATAGCACTAACACGACTCATCATGTCATTGTGATAATAATAATAATATTAATAGTATCAACGAAAATAACGTTATTACACAAAATAAGACGAATACGACTATGGATATAACTACTACTACTAATAAAAATACGAATCATAATACTCAGGAGTAAAAGCAATCGTCCCCATACCATATCTTGACAATGTTTGAATTTTCCTCCTGTAGGTCGAGGGACAGGGCTGACTTGATATTAGGCAGAAGACGACGCCCCTTTCGGACCCGACCAACCGGGAGGCGGCACGGCTCTGCGCTGGATGGGCCCCCAGGAAATCGCTTAAGAAGGGGGGTGGGGGAGGAGGGAAAGGTAGAAGGAGGAGGAGGAGGAGAAGGAGGAGGAGGAGGATGATGATGAGGAGATTGCGATTGCGAATGCGATTGCGCTGTATGCGGCGACCAAAAGCAAGCGTGGGCGCATGAAACATTCACCCCCGCACGGGGAACACACATACCTGACTTCCTGATTTGGGAGGGAGCCCGCGAGACAATCGGGACAAAGCCTCCCTCCCTTTAGCAGTGGGCTGAAAACAGCCCGTGGAAAGCTTGCGGGCCTGATCAACGCCGAAAGACCCACAGACGAGGCAACCCAGCACACCCTGGCAGGTCGCCAGGGTGTGAGACTCGTGGACAGAGGAGAAGAGAGGATGGTCGGAGGGAGGGCGCCGCGCGTGGACGTCCGCCACGGACAGCGTGGGCGGCTCGTCGCGCGCGTCCCTCTCCGCCTGGGGAGCCCACTCCCCTGAGACCTGGTCGAAGTCTGACAATGGGACACATATCTTTGGCCAGAACTGAAACAAGGGCCCTTTCCGAGAGAAGGACCGGGCACACCGAGAACACCGAAGCATGGTGCTGAGACGAATTGCCTCATGACCAGCGGCCAGCAGCCGTCTCTCCCTCGCCTCAACACTGGTGATGCCCGGCATCTTGCGGGCAGCCGCGAGACCTTTAGGGGAAGGGGCCTCGCGGGAGCAGGTGCGAAACACTTCACGCTGAACAGCTAGGAGGCGCAACAACATCTTCTCCTGGAGAGCG